CAGGCTATAAGTATAACGTTATACAACTTTAACGTAATTCATGACAACCAAATGAATGATACAAGCTGTCGCGACCCTTAAATCAGGCTCATTTGCAGTTTGACCCAATACATGTACACATGCAGACATAAACACACATAAAAAAACAACACACACACATTCACACACACACACACACACACACACACACACACACATACACACAGGCACACATACACAATCCCACACACACATACAAACACACACACACACTCACACACACACACACATATACATTATACATACACACGAACACACATAAACACGCAGGCACACACACAAACAAACACGCAGACACACACACACACATACTGTACAAACACAAACACACGCAGAAACACAAACACAATGTTGTATGCACACAGACACCTTTTGAAGGGCATGCACACAAGTTGCTGGGTGAGAGACCTCACAATTAAAATGAGCTAAAGAACTTTAAAACCCTTTCTTGGGTGGGATTTTTGTTGAATTCTTGGCATTTTTGTGGTGGGTTGTACAGTGTAGGGTTGTGAGTGAATGCTTTAGCAAAAAAATGAAGTTTTTTCATGAAGTTGCCTTGTTATGGGCTTGTCTGTTGCCGTACACCCCTCCTGCCTAGAATATGGGGTCAAAGTGCACGGACTCTTATAAACAAGGCTGTACCTCGAGACTAGCCGTCCACTTTTTTCCGAAACTTGTTGTACTAGGTACATATTATTAAATTAGCTAACACGTGATGGTGAGTTTGTGTCACAAAAACTTCGTAAACTAGAGATATGATGCCCATTTTCATGTCTGATTAAGCATATGTTTCAATGGAGAACCTTTTCAATGGTGTCTCCCCGCGAGGGTCGAACGTATGTTAGGTTTCGCCCCCCTCCCCCTTTAATTCCACAATATCCACATCCTGAAAATGCCTAAAATTATCATCCTACTGCGGTTCTTCTTCCACAGAAATGGTCTTAAACTATTCCAATCAACATCAGAATACTTTTCTGTCCGTTTCTAAGCCTTACCTGCTTCCTATGACGGTTTTTCTCTTCGCGTAAACCGGAACTCGGGTAGCTTTGTCCTTCCGTCGTCTAGTGAGGTCAGAGGTGAACGCCAACTGGGTCAAAGGTAAAGTTGTGTGCCTGATTACCCACATTGTACATTTGACGTCGGGTGGCACGTTACGCTTTAGTTTCCTCACAATATAAAAATTTTACACGCTTTTAAAAGTAGACCAAAACGACGTAACATGCGCCCGATTTTCTTGTCTAGTCTAATATTATGTGAAAGGAAGATTGCAAATATCAGTTACGCCTGTTTGGTCTGAATCGTGATTTCTTTGTCAGACCGTTTCCAAAATCATATCCAGTTGCTCGAGTAACTGCTTTTTGGCAAGATTTCTATGTTCTGTGACCAATTGACAAACTCTATTCATGAAAAAAGGCAAGTCATCAAAAGGCATTGTGTTTATTGTATTGAACTATTTAATTGTGTTAGTGGTAAATATATGTAGCTACATCTTCGAAGAGACAATTCTGCCCGTATATATTATACAACATAACGTCTATAGCTTTTCCCTAGTCTAAAATCACTTCCTACAGTTGCTATGCTATAGGCTTTAAAGGTTTTACCGCAACCAAACGCTAGTTTTTACTGAGTTGATATTGGTCAAAGTTTTTTTGCAGTACCTATAGGAAGATACTCCGTCAGAGTGAACTATTAATAGAAACATGAAGATAGCACATTCATACAAACTTACACTAACTTCTACTTTTGAAATACGATCATTTACAAATGTTAATTACTTACTATGCACATGTATATTATCCAATCAATACCATCAAGTTCACTGTTTTTCCACAATTCATGATAGATACAAAAATGATTTCTTTTGTCAAAAGAACTGAAAACAAAACAGAATATATATGCTAATAAAGAAAACCAAGAAATGAGAATTATCATTGTACCAACTGTACATTATAGTTGTACATAAATTAGAAATAAAGAAGTACAAGACAATGGCATTTCGTTTGGAAAGAACTATTACCTGTTTGAAAATACATTTATTATAAACTTTTAAAGAACATTTAGCCTAAATGTTTTGAGTATCAATGTGATATATCCTTATGGTTGGTTTCAGTATAGCAAAACTACCAAGAGAAGAGCAAGCAAACTAAAGGTAGTAGATAATCACAGATGCAGATTTGGACTTTCCTTGTGAATTTTCATATGTTGAGTTAGGGCTGACTTCGAGGTTGTAGAGAAGCTACACTGGTCACACTTGTAGGGTTTTTCTCCTGTATGGGTTCTCATATGTTGGGATAAGTGAAACTTTTTAGCTGTCCTGTATCCACACTCCCCACACATGTAGGGTTTTTCTCCTGTATGGGTTCTCATATGTTGGGCTAAAGAAGACTTGAAAGCTGTCCTGTACCCACACTCCCCACACATGTAGGGTTTCTCACAGGTGTGGTTTGTTTTATGGTCATCTAAGGTGGATTTCCATGCTGCAGAATAGTCACACTGGTCACATTTGTAGGGTTTTTCTCCTGTATGAGTTCTCATATGTCGGGATAAGTCAGATTTTTGAGCTGTCCTGTACCCACACTTCTCACACATGTAGGGTTTCACACCGGTGTGTTTTGCTAGATGTTGGTCCAAATCAGACTTCCGTGCAGCAGAATAGGCACACTGGTCACACTTGTAGGGCTTTTCTCCTGTATGGGTTCTCATATGCATGGATAAGTGAGACTTCTGAGTTCCCCTGTACCCACACTCCCCACACATGTAGGGTTTCTCACCAGCATGCATTGCTAGATGTTTGTTAAAAGTGGATTTCCGTGCTGCAGAATAGTCACATTGATCACACTTGTAGGGTTTTTCTCCTGTATGAGTTCTCATATGCCGGGATAACTGAGACTTCCAAGCCGCCCTGTACCCACACTCCCCGCACATGTAGGGTTTCTCACCAGCGTTATTCAAGTTGGCTTGTTTTGCTGCCACCTGGCCTCGAACATCGCCTTTTTTGCTGTCACAGTCGACATGGGAAACCCCGGTGGGAGACCAATCACAGCAGTTCTGACCAACTCCGGTGGGAGACCCGTGTCCTGCCATTGCCATGTTCAGCCTAACGAAAAAAAATGAAGAAATTACACAGATTAAGCGTTATAAGCTGTCAATGATAAAATAGAATTTACAGAAAACAAGCTTCAAAGAATTCTAACTTCGCCAAGCTTTACAATTTTAATCAAATGCATTCAACGTAACCCAACATAATGCTGACGTGTTGTCTTTCTCGCATTTGAATAAATTCGCTTCTAGTTCTATGTTGTTCCAAAATCATATTTTGAGATCTTACAATCACTCACTCACACCAACAATCTACTAAAACATTTTATATCATATTATTTATTACTTCTACGACTACTAACAATGGGTAAAATGACTCCATTCGCTAGGCTGGAAAGAGAGTCGACAGTATAGCCTATAGGTTTGGTCACCAGGATTCTCTATTTACTGTTTTTTACAAATCAGTTCTACGCGTTTTTAAATTTTGTAATGTACGCCTTGTGCGATTCTTTACAATACAATCAACATTTCCATATAATTTCACGTACTCTAAAACGGCCACTTTGCCTGATGCAGCATGACGTACATGTAAGTGGCGAGGGTCGAACGTATGTTTGGTTTCGCCCCCCTCCCCCCTTAATTCAACGGTATTCACATCCCGAAAATGCCTACAAATTATCATCCTACTGCGGTTCTTCTTCCACACAAATGGTCTTAAACTATTCCCCTCAACATTAGAATATTTTTCTGCCCGTTTCTAAGCCTTACCTGCTTCCTATGATGGTTTTTCTCTTCGCGTAAACCGGAACTCGGGCAGCTTTGTCCTTCCGACGTCTCGGGAGGTCAGAGGTAAACTCGGTCTGGGTCAAGGGTGAAGTTGTCGACCTGATTACCCATGCAGTACATTTAAAGTCAGTTGACACGTTACGTTGTCTTCATAATGTCAACGTTCTGCGTTTCAAACCGACCACCTTACAACGTATCTAGCGTCTGACTTTTGTTTCTAATCTAATATGAAAGATAATATACAGAAAGTCACATACAAACAATAAAATTAAGATACATGGTGAATAAACAATGACAATGATAAATTAGTACAACCAGAACACTGAATTGACTATGGCCTTCTGGGCCTAACATAGACACAGCAGACAGCACCTATAGTGATTGCAACAGATTCAAATAGAGTTTAATGTTTTAATTCATGTTGAGACATTGTGAGCTTTGTCTACTGCAGAATAGTCACACTGGCCACATCTCCAGAGTTTACGAGGGTTCTCATGTGTATGGATAAATTGAATTTGTAAGCTGTCCTGTATCCA